GTAAGATAGAGGTACAAACAGGTGGGTTATATTATTACAGTAGTGATTTACAGGTGTTTACAGTCAGTTTGCACTCATTATAACATCGGTGTATGATTTAACTCTCTTTTGATGTACAGCAAAATTTGTCTTTGAACCCTTGATCCCCAGGGTACATATTCCCAGGTTCTTTAACATAAGGATTAAAGATCCCCAGTAGTATTTTTTTCATCTGATGATTTATTGATGACTTAATTAGTAAGATAAAGATTGATGTTGCCTTAAAGCGTGTGCAAATTAAGATACTATGGTTATGAACAATTATTGTGATCCTGCATTCTGCAGCTGGGTATACTCATTCTTTGCTGTCACTCTTGTTACCTTAAGGCAAAAATGGTATTATGTGCATTACTGAAATAATTGGCATGCTGAATTATGTGTTTTGACAGCATGTATGACCTTGTACATGTAGTTGATGGGTGGCTGTATTTGCACTGTCATGGTCACTTCTAATTTCTCACCAGCAAGCTAGAGTGATAAGAATGATATTAATTAATTATTTCCTTAATGATCTTGACAAATTATGAACAGCTTGTTTTATCTTATAAAAATCTATAGTTTGAATCCATCCACATGCTACAGACAATCCCATGGGAGAAATCTCACACTGTTTTAACTCACTGATATATCTGACAATTTTTTATGCATATTTATAGGATGATTACCTGCATGAAAGAAAAATGCAGCTAAACACCCACATGTATGCTATCGCCATGTGAAAACAATTTAACCACATGGACAGAGTTATGTAGAATTATTTAAATTGATACTTTCAGACACACTGTTCAAAGCCCCACCGAGTGCTGAGGCTGACTTCACACCTCCAATCTTCTCATCAACGCCAGCAGTGTTCAGGATCCCCAGCGCCCCAAAAGCCCCTTTATCCATGACAGATAGTAAAGAGAGCAAGGTGGTCGTCAAACTGTACAGCGACAATTACAATGACACAGGCACATTTGGGAAACAGAATGAAACATATGAAAAGCTGCCAACACCTGAGCCTGGAAGTAATGATAATGTACAAGAAGGTGATGTTTCAGTGAAATCAGATGCCAAAAGGTACGAGAAGGTCACAGGCGGTACAACTTATATAGAAAAAGATACAAAGGTGACAAGGAAGATGGATACAAAAATGACAATGATGACAGATACACAGGAAAATGACCTCACAGATGGTGAGGAAGACACTTGTGAGAAACTGACTGAAATACAAATGGACTTGGTGGACGACATTGACCAGGAATGTCACGACCTTGAAGGTCAAGGTCACATTACAGAAGATGAAGAAGCTGAAATGTTAAGCAGTATGGAAAAGGAGTATATAGCTCAGACTCAGCGACTGAGTGAGGAAGAAACGATGGATGAAGAAGAGGAAGAAGGAAACAGTGAGCCAAAACTCCTTACTCCTGTCACAGAAGAAAGTGAGACTGACAGCTTAAAGAAAGATACTGTGGAGCAGCTGCCATTGGACATACAGTTGGAGAAGAAGACTGGGGATATTATGGTGGATTCTGGCTTGGCCCAGTCTGTATATTCAGAGGGAGGTCTGGAGGTGAGGGGAAGAGGGAAAGAGAGACCATTGTCAATGATATCTGTTTCAAGTGTTGATACAGGTAAGTTTTTTGTTTTTTTTCCAGATCATAAGTAATTAAAGGGATAAGAACTCTTCATTTTGGCAGGAAACTTATGTGGAAGAGATTTTTACAGAGGGTAGCCATCTACTAGTATTAAGGTACACGTGGTCCCATGACAAGCACAGATTCTAAAATAATTGTGATAACTGCCATTTTGGCGATAAATTGGAATTATTAAATTTTTATGCATACATGTACATATATGTTTACAATGGCTTTATTGTGGAATTTTTAATCTGAAATGAAGAGTTGTTATCCTTTTAAGCACCAACTGAATTACTAACTTAAAGGATTGAACTTTTTTTTTATTTTTATTTATTTTTGTAGAAAGGTAAAAATGTTTTGAAACTCACATATAGGCTTGGTTTATGCTAAGTTATGCCAGTTTTATGTTATGATATCAAGTTATAAAGTTGATTAATTTTTAATTGCTGAGAGTTATGTTTGATTGTATGGAAAAGACACTGATTCATGATGACACATAAAAAGTTTTACATAATGATGCTGACATTAGTAACCAAGGAAGTTGATAACATTTGATTTTCCTTTTCAACATGAGAAAAGCCCTTCCATTAATGCTAGAAAATAATAGCAAGTAGATTTGCATTGCACTGTTTTCTTGGTGTGTTATTGTGTTACAGTGTATCCAAGATATGAATAAATTTCCATATTTATGAAAAAAGCAATAGGAAAATGTTGGTTCTGTTAGATTGAGATAGAAATCGATGATTCGGGGAAAAGTTTTTTTGGTGGGTATTGTATTGATCACAGCATGTTATGAAAATACAAATCTCTTATTTAAACAGTTAATGTAAATATAACATCAAAACATAACAATAAGCACTCTCATAAAAGTTTTTTTTGTTTGTTTGTTTTTCATTGCAGAAGGCAATTCAGTGAAATATTGATTGGAGTATAAGTTTTTGTATTTGTGTTGGTAGAGTAAGATGAGTTATAAGATTCAATAATCTGAAGCATCTCCATTATATAATGTTATTTGCTTCTGTATATAAATTTTAATATTCCAAGTTAAAGTATATTACACAGAAATAATGTACTTTTAAAGAAAGACTTCATAGTCTCTGGATTGCAAAAACATAATTGCTGCTATGATCTAACAGAACTGCAAATTATCAAAGAAAACTATTTGCAATTTCAAATCAACCAATATAACATGACAGTCTTTTTAAATAAGAAATGAGGAATGCTTGTCATATGTATGAAGGATGACCCATGGCTGCACAAGCCAGTAATTTAGCCAGAGATATCAAAATGTGGCACATATACGGAAGCTAGGTGGAATCATAATACATGTATATCTAATGAGCTGTTCCACCCTTTCCTGATGTTACATATATCATATTAAAACATCAAAGGATAAATTCATAAATCATCATTGCAGTTAAAGAAAATTAAAATGCTTAATGAAGGCATTGTGTGATCACAACATTTAAGACAAAATGTAAGAAGACATCTGTGCATCAAGTGTTAAAATTATTGAAGCAAGTCATGATGTTGAATGATGTTACTTCTGAGAGGTTAAAAAAAGATATTTGATTTTGATATAATTAGGAGGTTAAAGCAAAATATATGTACTTGGTTGGAAGACATGGCACTCATTCAAACTCCCAGATTGCCCAGAGGTGCCATAAAACACAGGTAAATTTGTAGGTTTTTTTATCAGCTCACTGGATCAGACGTGTGATAAGAAACCACAGTGGGTGTAACTCTAACTGATTTAGCTGTCATTGCATGGTTAAGGTGAAACCACAAGTTTGGTTATGTTACAAAGTTCTGCTTATAGACATGTTGTACCCTGTAGAGTGAGGTTGGGTGGATTTCTCTTTAGATATGGCCATTGGAGTCCCCCCCCCTTTTACTGCCCATCTTCTTCCCCCCCTCCCCCCACTCCTCTGTCTGTCTTTTAAGCTGTACCTGTTTAGGTTTTCTCCTTGTTCCTTTTATGTTTCATCTCCTGACCCCTAACCCCTTCCCCCACCTCCCTCTCTCTCTCTCTCTCTCTCTCTCTCTCTCTCTCTCTCTCTCTCTCTCTGTGTGTGTGTGTGTGTGTGTGTGTGTGTGTGTATGTGTGTGTGTGTGTGTAAACAAATATATATAAGTCTTCCAGTCTTACAGAAAAAATCTCTCCTTCCTGGTATTTTTGCCTGCTAATATATTAATAGAACTGCAGGAGAGATGGAAATAGACAGCCCAGGTATTATACATATATTTGGTACTGTGCAGGAAATATGGTGGAGGCTGCATAACCTTCCACCCTGAAATGTAGCTCATCTGGAAACATGGTAATAGTGCTACTACTGCAGCAACAGTTGTATTGTAAAAGAGGCATGGTTGCTGTCACCATGTTGCAGGTATAATAAAAGACATGGGGATTAAAGATGGAGAGGTATTTATCACTAAACAGATGTTCTGTAGGGAACTGACGGCAGTGAGTAAGTACAGAAGACAAGAAGCAGCATTTGTTTTCCCTTGAGTATAATTTTATGCTTCCATTTGAACAGTAATGCACCCAAATCAAACAGCATTGCTTTTAAGCACATTGTCAAAATTAGGTTTGCATTTTTCATAAAATTGTCATGCAATAATATGGATATTTTAAGAGTGGTTCTTGGGACAGTAGATTGATTTTTCTCTGAAAGTAGACATAAAAGCAATTAATGCATTTATGAATTTGATTATTATGATCATTAGGTAATATTTATGTTGATATTTAGGCCCTTCTTTATCTGATACCAAATGTTCATTGGCAAGTTCTCAAGGTGCTTTCTTAGATTTGTTCTGACTTCAAAATCATAACAAATTCTGAAGGCTATGAGTTCTACATGCACATGCATGTATTTGTTGAAAATTAACCTAAAAATTTTACAGCATGTTATCCAAGCAGTGAATGGCATTTTTTGGCTATTGCATGAAAATGTGGACTCTTCAAACTAACTGTTATCAAAATTATCAAAATATGATTAATATGAAGATGGCCTTGGAGGCCTTAATGCTTTTAAGGAAATAATACTTGATGTACCTATAGAATTGCCAGCTCCATGAATCCTTAAACAGGTCATAATATCACCTTAGAAATCTCTGAATTATGCATTAAATCATTAGCAGTGGGAGAGGATGATCTATCCCATTTTGAAAGGTTATGACCGCACTCTGGCAGTGTGTTTATATATCATTTCTGTTTGAAAAAATATATTCAAGTAATTGAAGTAAGAAGCCTCTTTGCTAATGTCATTATGGATTAAGTGAGAAAAAATTTGTTTATAATTGTTTATAATTAAGCTGATATTGAGTTGTGCACTGATAATAATGACAAGACTACTAAATGATAGGTATAATTGTATTTATTTAGTAATATATACAACCCATTGATGGCATTTGGTACCACATATATACATGTATATTTACCTGACATATGTTACCTGACCATAGGACAGTGTTAGGACAGTCTCGCTGTTCAATACCTTGCTTAATCGTGCAGCAGAGCTGTAGCATGTTTAGGTGGCAAATGAAGCTGGAAAACTACACTACTCTAGAGAATGTTGGCAAAAAAAGGCAATGGAACAGCATGACTTAAGCGCAGGCTTTTAAGTTTGAAATGTGGATGACATGTTGAACAATCCAGTCTGTGCCCAATCTTTGTAGTAAACCAGTTTTCTACTGTATTCACACTGAGCTTCAGGTTTCCTTGTGGGGTAATGCAGTCAACTTTTGCATTGCTTCCAGTGTTGTATGTATTTATGGTGGACTTTCCATTGGCTTTTATAAAAGAGATTGATACAAGATTGGTCTCTGTATACAGTAATACCATCAAATTTCCTTTCATATATATGCTATAATTTGGATCATATGTACTATGACATACATATAATATTAGAACCCCATTTAAACTTATCTACTTGGTCTGACATAAGCTTAGAAAAGCTGTGTAATGGAACCAGCTTATTGATAATGGCCACCTAAACCTTTACTAAGCCACAATGGGAAGAGAAGTTCCATGCTGCGTAACAGTTGTTCCACCCTAAACATGGGCAGTGGAGCTCTGTATGCAAGATGCTGTAATCTATAATGCCTGATTACTGTTGTAGTTTTTCTCTTGGAAAATGTGGAATATGCCTCAGCAGGTTTCATTCATGTGTCTGTTTGGCTTAGAAATAGTATATTTTACTTACTGTCAGGAAAATATTGGATGGAGGAATCTGTGTAGCAATTTACATCCAGGACTGCTTTTATGTTGAGAGATGAAATATAAGTTTGGAAGGCAAGGTAGGAATTGGTACATTTTTATACCAGAAATGAGAACTTTTTTGTATAAAAAATTGCTTCTGTTAATTGATCTACTTGAGTTAGAGTTCATTCTATTTCCTCTGGATATTGGAAATTGGAAGTTAATTTCCAGAGGTTTTCATGAACATTAGAGAATTTGACAGAGAAGAGATTAGAAAAGATGGGAAATGGATACACTTGGTTATAGCTGTATATCAAAGAAAACTGTCACATTTCATGTTGTGTTTTATTTTGCGATCTTTGAAATCTTGCTCGAGACGAAGAATGCTGACTGGTCTCACTATAGTATAAAAATTTACTAAACCCCATTAGCTGGAAAAATTTAAACAGCATCAGTCCTTTTACTCAAAATGGGTATAAATTGAACAGTAGAAAAATTGAATTATGTTTTGTATCATCAAATTCTTTATTTGCTATCGCGGACCTCAGATGCATAGGGCTTTAAAAAGAACGGCAGCTGATATGATCCTATGTCACTTCCCTACTGCTTCAAAAGATACAGGTAACATCAACATCACACCTTAGAACTAACAATTATGAGGTTCACGTTGGTGCTAGTGATAAACACATGTAAACAAATCAGGGAGAAAAAAAACATGAAGGGAAATGGCAACCTTTTCATTGAGGAGCCAGTCATCAGAGAAGTAAATGGTGTGAATCAAGTGTAACAGAAAACTTTTTGTAGGTGATTCCTGGTGTTGAAAATACACAAACTTGCCAGATTAGGAACATTTCAGGCCAAAGGAGCATATATATATTAAAATGGTTACTTTATAGTAGCATGCCACGTTGACTGATAGACTGAGTGCAGTGGAGAAATTAAACTCTCCTAGTAATCAGTCTAACTAGTGATAAACACAAGTATACAAACTGACAGAGAAGCTAGGAGAGAAAGGCATCTTCAGTGGATACATTAAGAATTGCAAAGGTTACCTTAAGTTTGATAGCATTAATGAAGTGGAACAAACTGTTCAAGTAATCACTAGTAATAAACATGCGTACTCCATTTGGCGGTCCTGATGAACAGCAGGGAAGACAGGAAATGGAATTTAGAATGAAAGTGAGTCTGTTTATAAGGTCCTGAGTTTTGGAGATCAGGAAAAAGGTACTTCTGCCATGTGGATAATACAGGTTAGTTTACGGTAAGCTGAAACTCAGGGTGTCATGAATTGATCATTGCTTGCTATTCAGCAAGGGAACAAGTTTACTATGTTACTGCAGTCAGAAAATGTGCTTTAATACTGACTTTCTTGGGTTCTAAATACATCAAATGAAAAGTTGAATGATCCTTCAGCGACATCTCTCTCTAAATCTGACACAAGTTGAATTAAAATTGTCTTCCCCTCTCTCTATAGATACATATCTGCACATGATGTTGATAATAATAATAATAATAATATTAATAATAATATTTATTTATTTATTTACAACCAAAATCTAAGAAATGTGCAGTAGACTTAACTGCATAAAAGATGTATCTTAAGATGATATATTCATCGCGGATTCAAGTTAACTTGGTTTGAAACAGATGTGAATTAGGTATGTGTCAGGGGATCCAGAAGTTCAAGTGTAAACCCAGCAAGAGAGAGAATGATAGTGTTAGGAAACTGATAAGCATGATTTAACCAACATGTGACGCAGTTCAGGTAAGGAAGCTGGCGTCTTTGAAGATGACTTTTGAAAGCACTGACTAGAATACCATTTATTTTGGGAAGTGATTGAACAGAGGAAACAGCATAGAAAAAAAAACCTTTGCCATTTCCCATTGGAAAGATGCCATGAGGTTTTATTTAACTAGGGATGTAATTGTTTATCTGTGAAAGCAGTGAACCATTTGGTTGGTTATATGCCTGAAGAACTTCTAACCTAACCTTTGGCTTAGTCAAAAATTATTTTTGTTGATTGTAATCAGTGCCTTATTTTTTCTACATAGTTAACTTCAAGATTCTGGTCTTGGTCATCATGCTGTATTAAACCTAGATATGTATCTTTCTGTGCATAAACAGAGAAGTGGTAATTTAGATTTTACTAAAAACCTAGCTCTTTGGCAGTTATTTTAATTTATTCATATGGTACAATCAATACATACAATCATTTTGAAAGTCCAAAACTGAAATCTTTGCCAAGATGTTAAAGTCCATTTGCTTTTTAGTAAACATGCATCTAAAATCAGCTTGTGTTCGAAACTTTGTTATTTATGCCTCTTAATTTATATTGCATTTAAAATAAAACAATCCAACATTGAATACAACTGCCATAGTTTATTCGATAATCTGACTTGTCAATATTCTTATCAAAATATTATCCTCCAGATAGCAAGTCTTACTTTGAGAAGTTACAGTTAGGTTTCTTACCAATTATATCTTATTTAATCTGTGAGCTTGTGAATGTACAGTTTATCCACTTCAAGAGGCGTGTTTGTGAGGCATTTGACAGTAAGTATTGGTGAGTGTTGTAAGTTAGCATGTAAGTTGTAGTCTCTTGAAACCTCTTCATAACAGATGTCAAGTCAGTATTTAGACAATATTCTCCAAGACAGGATAATTTGTTTAAAGAGTATTAAAGGGAGTATGGTGATGGAGGAAGAAAAGTAAGTTTTTTTTATTATGTTCTAAATCTAAATTTGAAGAGTTAAAAGGGACATCATGCATCCTTGCTTTTGGCACAACTTAAAGATCTTTTAAGGGTCCAAGCTAAACCTGATGTGAACACACTCACTTGGAAAATTAGCAAATTTCACCACCTCAGTTTGGTTGTTAATTGATATTGTTGTTAATCAGATTTCCTTACGTAATGCTATTTCTGGAGTATGTTTATTATGTAATGATTATATCCTCAGGTAAAGGTGTCTGTATGTTTTAGTTAAAAACTTCAGTAAGTCTTGATATTTAATAGGAATCAGCTGACTACCATTCTTTCATGAGAAATTCAATACCAGTTATTAAGATATTGACAAAATATGCATTAGTACAAGTACCGAAACAATTTTTGGGTTTCTTACATATTTTTCACTGCTGCCCTTAGTTATACATATATATCAGGTCAAAGAACAGCACATGTGTTAAGTGTCACATCACTATATCTACTGTTGCAAGCTAATTACAGATTATTTATGACCATGATAATAGCATCAGTATGATTCCAAATACCTTCATGATGCAGTTAATATTTACTCAGAGGACTGTGTGTTGTTGGACAGGGACATGGGGGAGTTTTGTGCAACAATTTTCAGCCCAGGGCCATGTTTTGTTAAATGTTTGCAGATTTTTGGTGAAGACTGCTCAATTTTGGACAATGACCCTTTGGTGAACATTTGTCTCACAATTAATTTGGTATACCTACATTGGCTACTGTCATTGCCAAGAAAATTACGATATGCCTTTTTGGTGCATATTTAAGTCTGGAAATTAGGGTTTATCAGGCTTTCAATAATGCAGTTTTATCAGTTTTATGTGGTTAGATTGGCTTATATGCAGTGAACACATGCAGAGTTGGGCAATGCTAAGTTAGGGCGTCCTAATTTAACTGTAATCACAACTCGGTCTGTCCAGCCAAGTCACTACTTGGTCTTATTAGCATATCCAAGGTGAACAATTTTTTGTGAGGAAGCGTAATTCACATTTTGTTGAAGGCAATATGGGAGTTGTTTCATATCATGTAACATTATTTATGGATGTGTATAAATGAATGCATGTTTTGTATGACACAACTGTGGCAAATTGCAGTGGTAGGCAATGTTGATGATGCTTTTGTAAAGTTTCTTGAAGCATTTGGAAAGACTGCGTTGATTGTAGAATATTCTTTGGAAAGGTTTCCTGAAGCTGTACATAGACCAGCAACATGCACACTCCAATATATAAACATACCATCATGAATTTGAAAGACTTTTGTGATTTTCTCTAAAACATATTCTTTTATCCATCAAGTTCCCAATCAGACAACTGCTAAGTTGATCAGTGAAAAAGGATTCAGGCTAGAAAACATACAACCCCCAATGCACAATTTTTGGGGTAACGTTTTCATTAAAAATTAGAAGCATTTTTTCAAAATTAAAACCAATCCTTTTCTCCATATAGGCTATCAACCAGATACAGACTCTGATGCGGGCCTGTTGTCTCCAGTTGGTTGGTCAGAGAGCAGGAGCCTAGTGTCAGGACACCATCTTCTCCCTGCTGGTGGCGGGGTTGGCGGCCATGTCAGCGATGCCATGAGCTCCAGTCAGATGACCCAGGCAGACGGCCTGATGAGCCTCAGTCAAATCTCACAGCCCGATGTGATGATGATGAGTTCCTTGGATGGTTTGGAGAGGGGAGATGGCTCCTTGAGAGGTGAGAGATTTGAGAGGATATGAATTTATGTTATAAAGCAGTTTATATGAATTTCAAGCAAAAGTAATGCAAGAATGGTCTCATGATCCAGAGACAAACCTTTGAGTCTGATTTTAGTGTGAGCTCCCCCCCCCAAAAAAAAAACATAATAAAATAAAATAAGATACAAAGGGTTACGTATATGAAAGAAACAATTTGTGTTAAATATTGATGCTAGTTCTCCAAAGATCTACTACAATTTAAGTGCCAAGAGATCATTTGTAATGAAAATTAAAAAGACCAGACAAATATAAAAACATATTCAGTTAAACTTTATTATGTGAGTATGTATTGCTTTACATCTTTTAAATTTTCACAAGATTGAATGTACTCATCCATCTCCCTACAATTTTTATTTAAAAAAAAAAAAAAATAATTTACTCCCTTTTGTTTCTGAGATTCAGTGCATGGCAGTCATTATTGTCTATAAGAACTTGCTGCCTGGGAACTTTTCATCAGATGCTCTGAACGCATGCAGTTGAGCTAGTGGTATTTATCGACTGTATTCTAGGCTAGGGATGGTCTGCTTGGAAAACTTTCCTGGGGCCCATTAGCTCAACCTCAGAGAATGAACCCGTTTCTGGGAAAATCGATATTATTCATTTACTGTAGGAAGAATGGAGATGCCATTTTCAAATAAAGCAGAAATTACTCAATGTGCTTACAGGGGTGCCTGTGTTGAAATAAGCTATGGTTTCCTATTTATGTGTAATGCATGAATATAGGTTATAAACTAGTTTGTATTTAGAATTGAAATATTTATTTGTGGTTGCTGGCACTGTGTTTGGGTTGTGAAAATAGGATGATAATCATCATTTATCTGGTGTAGTTGTCAAATGCAAACAATATATTGAAAATACATTCCTTTATAAACTTATTGATTGCATATGGCAGTATGTTATGAAACTGCATTGCTGTTTTAGTAGATTCTGCTCCATCATTGGATTATGCTTTATATTATGTAAATAAATTTGCGTTATTATTTGAAAATTTTGAACACAAGTTTATAAATGGAAACATTTCTGGACTTGATTGTTAGATTCCTTTTCAAATTGTGTTACACTTTGTATTTTAAGAATTCTCTACAAAATAAATTAAGACAGAGCAGAGACCAACCCTCCAAAACAATATTGCTGTTGGAATATTTGCTGCCGTTGTTTCAATTGATTTTTTTGATGAATCAGGATGAGAGTGTCACATTGGTCCCAGGTGGCTGGGATAAACTGAAGGTTAATTCCATTCACTGGGTCATGGGCGCTTGGGGAAAAATGCTGTTATTTAATCAGTGTCCAGAGAATGGGTTTAAATGTCTCTATGGGCACTTGCTAAGATTTGGGCAGTTTTGAGTTTCTAGATAAACTATATGACTTTTTGAACTTTAATCGTATTGATGCCTGTATATTGCTGAAGAAAATGAAAAAAATGGCAGTAAATTGATATATAAGTGTTTTAACAATTTTAAATTTTTTAAGAAGGAAATAGAGATATTGTTATTAATTTTATTTATTTATTTATGAATTTTATAAATTTAACCAAAAATTGAAGTGTGCTCACGCTTGAACTTAACCAATGTACTGTGGCAGGTAAAAGTGACGTGCATTATAAGATCTGCCTCCTAAGACGGGCTGAGGCATCCTTGATTCTATGAAGAGGGGTGAATTAGTACATGTAAGAGGAGGTTAATGAAAAGATGAATTGTGAGATAACGAAATCCATAAATAAAGATTGATGTCTGCCCAGTTACAGTGAAAACACCAGCAAGCAAGTTTAGACATTCAGTCTTGAAGTGGCCTTGCAACTACTTGGTTTGCTTAACTATAGTCCTGATCAAATTTTATTGAGCACTTTAGCCAAAATGGATCAATTGGCCAATCCAGACACCACAAAAAGCTACAGGTCCTAAAATACTAATGCATACACGTAGGTCATTGCAAGTACAAATATTTCAAACCTCATAGAATTTGTTTGAAAACAAAGAGTAGATCTTTGCTTTACTTTATTGCAAATATGTACTGGCTCGCTTAGATCCATTTTAAAGCTTGTGTAAACTGGACCAATCCATTTTAATCAGCTTTCCTGCCTGAATGTGCTGGTGATAATGCTATTGATCAGGCTGGTTCTATCATTGATCAGTGAGCTGGACATGTTATCCATCACTAAATGGCCATTATGGGCTTGGAAAGGGTCCAATAGAAGCACTAGGAGTGTCATCCTTGAGAAGTCTGTTCACATGGGCTAAAAAGAATGTGCAAAGTAATGGCCCGTTTTGTTCAAATTGTAGTTGGCCTCTTTGCAGGGTAATTCTTTTAACTTTTCTCTAATTTTCTTTATATTGCCTTTTCCTTCTTTATTGTAATCTTATTATTATATTTTATTTGTTATTATAATCATCAAAGAGTTATATAATCATACAATTTAAGAATCATTCAATCTTTTTGTCTGTGTGGCCACACACATACATTAGGAATACTACTGGGGTATAATTAAATAAATGATATACAGAGGTCATGATATGTGAGTTTAGGGTAATACTGAGTATTCCTTTTCTATGCCATTTGTATTGTTACACTGTATGGTTAGCGGAAATATTATATTTTCAAGAAAAGCTTATGCATTCATAAGGAATGCTTTCCAGTTATCTTAATTATAGGACTTGAACAGCCTTATTCCAGTTGACACATTTTATCACTTTAATTTATTATATTATTTAGACACAAAATTGTTTTCAATTTCTTTAGATTCAACATTTACTGCAGCTACATCATCAAATGTGCATGGAGACCATGACCTTGAACTCGCTCAGAGTGACATTGATGAACTTAAGGTCACAGGGTAAGTAATAAATGTTTAAGGTTTAAGGTTTAAGTATGATATTGAAATTGTTTAACCATTTTGAAAAAAGGTTTGAATAAAGGTATACAGTCATGTATTCATTAATAGCATTGGGTTTTGCTTTATAAAATTTGACAGTAGAGATTATGATTTTTGTACCCCCTTTTCATTATTTCAGGGCAAGCAGCGAGTTGGAGATGAAGAAAGAGACCAGTGACACTGAGAGCCAGCATGACCTGGCCCTTGAGCAAGAGGAACTAGCACAGATGTTATCCACTGAAGAAGCTATCACAGAAGATGAAATTGTGTCTGTTCCAAATGTAAGCTTATCCTCCCTCTTCCCTCTTCCCTCTTGCCTCCTTGTTTACTAATATTCAACTTCAACATACATGCAAATGCACATGCAGAAACAGATATCATCAGTTAAAAATTCTGGCAGCATTACTTAATGCACCACCAAAATGATATATCCCAGATTTCTTGTTTTTAACTTATTAGCAACATGTTTTATAGATCAAGTGAGAGTGAAAATGAAAACAGTTAATCTCTATAATATATATTTTGTTTAGAATGAGACTGAACAGGAACCATTGCAAATAGAACAGGGGTTAGCACTAAATCTAGATATGTTGGAGGACAATGAGAGCACAGAAGCACATCCTGCCTCTTTGGATGTCACATTACAGGAGACTGAAGAAGATGGAGAAACCACACAGGATGAAGGTAACTCTGTCACATTATTTTCTGTCACAACTAGCACAATGTGTTATTGTAGCATTGAAGCACAATTGTATGGTCACATCTAACACAATGTTTTAGTAAAATGGAAACATTATTCAAAAGCCACAAATAGCAAAACTGACCATTGATTAATTTAATAAACTATTGCATTGTCTTGACTAGCACAATGTATATTTTCTTTAACAATTTGGTTATTATCACAAGTGCAATTTTTATATTATTATATGAAAAACAGTTGCACTGTACTCCCAACACACCACAGGTTACTACATCTCAGTGTTTCTCACATAATAAATATGGTAATATTTTTTGTCTCCATCATCATAACAGTAAAGTATTCTGTGTCATATTACTAACATGGGGGGAGGGGGGGTAATCACAAGATGAGAGTAATGAACCTCAAAACATATCTTGTGAGTAGGGAAGACCTGTATGAAAAATTCGTAAAGTAATTTATGGTTTGAACTTTATTTTTTAGGTGTTGCCACTGCTCCAGAAACAGACACAGAGCATGCTGCCCTGGACATGAGGGAACGAGAGAAAGGACCAGATCAAGTGGAGGACACTGACACAGAACAGAGGGAGGGAACCCAGGAGAAAGAACAGCTTTCCAAGAAAAAGACAAGTGTCACTAAGAAGCCCTCACCAGGAAAGCTTGATGGGAAAAGAAAGGAAGAGCTTGCAAAACCAAAAAGGACAAGTTCACCTCGAAACAAAAAAACACCAGAAAAAAGTGAGCTGAAAAAACCAAACACTAAAGTCAGTTCTCGTCTGGCAGATTATATTCATAAACCAGTTGCAGAAAAATCAAATGACAAATCTAAAGATGCTGTGGATTCTAAGTTGAAAAAGAATGCATCCAACAAGCAAAAAATAGAGGGTAGAGAAATAGCAAAAACACAATCAGAAGACAAGAAAAGTTTCAGAAGGAGTCCCACACCTAAAAAAGAGGAACCAAAGAAGATAATCAAAAAAGCACCAGTTAAAAATAAGTGGGATAATATTATGTCTCAACTAGAGGCCAGTAAGGAACAAGACAAGCACAAACCGAAGTCTGAAGTGAAAAGTAAACTTGCACCTATGATTGAAGCAAGTCCAGTCACTACACACTCCCCTGCTGCAAAAAACTCTCCAAGAGCAAGAAGTGGAAGTAATGAAAAGAGGGCATCTACACCTAAAGCTGATTATACTAAAGTGAAGAGTAGGATTGACACCCACAGTTCAGTACCTATACAAAAGAGGAAAGTTTCTCCAAGATTATCTGCAGGTTTAACCAAGGAGCGCAGGGAGTCCACGGGGTCCCAGATGAGTTCCACTCGCAGCAGTAGATCTGATCTCAATGCTTCTGTAATCGAGTCCAAGCAAGGTAAGGTTGCTTTTTTTGTGCTCTTGTATGGTCTTTTTTTTAATGTCTATTTGAAAGACATTTATAGTTTCTGTATTAGTATGTTTTAAGATAAAGAAGTCTGCAGTTTTCGTGACATTTTTCACAGGATTTTTTGCAGTACCATTATTTTGTTACCTATGACTTGGCTTGGAAGAGAGGAGTTTCTCAGTGAGGCCTTTGAGTAAGTTTACCTTTTTCTGAAATATATATATATGTTCTTGCTTTTTCCCTAAATATCTAGAAAAACCCAGCAACAAGTTGACCCAGAATTTGAAAAATGAAGAAAAATCTCTCAGCAGAACCAGCATTAACTCTGATACCTCACAGGTTAGTGTCACAGTCAACACATTGTTTATCTTACAATTTTCTGTCACAACTAGCACAATTTACCATATTCCTATAGTTATCATATCTAACACATTCACCAGATCATTTTTAACTAAAATCTCTCATATTTTCAGTACTATGTCATATAAGATATTTTATTACATAATATCCAATTGATTACTAGGCTTAATATTGATACGAAAATTGCAACTCAATTGCCAAAAGCAATATTTTACTTGTAGCAAATGACTTAATAGGATTAAGAAACCTTAATCCTTAGTTATAATCTTTTATAGCTTGAAAAATGATGGAAAGTGTTCTTAACTGTTTACCCCTCCCTATCCTCCCAAATTGTGTTATTTATGTATTGAAACTTTATTGGCTACTTACTCCCTTGTAACATCTGACCTGAAATGAATGAATTTCTTTTCCAAATGTACATGGAGGTCATTGCTCAAAAGCTATATACTCATACCTAAATTTTATCCAACATGTGGATAAATTAAGTATTTTTCATAAAAAGATTCGCTTTACACAATTTGCTAATTCTTTTGTAATAGAGGCCCAAAAGGAGACGAAGGGTAATTTTTGTCTTACTTTTACTATGGACAGCTTGCTCTTGCTCTGTGGTTCACAATTTTTAGTTCTTTTAGAAGTTTTAGACCACATCCTCAGTGCAGCCCTTATCAGAATTCCTTCCAGCATGGTTCAAGACCATATCTGTAGTATCTCAGAGTAGTATTATTCAAAATAAAAAAGCGAAGAAACAATTTTTACAAAGTTGTGATTTTACTATTTGAGAATCTGAGCAAAATGATAGTTGCTACATGATGACAATTAAACTGTCTTCTGAACTTAGTCAAGTCAAAATTCATTCTGTAGACATTATTGCTAACATACCCATGTGGTTATTTTGTAATTTACATGAACATGCATGTGCATGAGGGTACGTGTCCTTTTCCCAACTGTATTATGTTTTTAAAATTTGTATTCACAAGCATATACAATGTGTGGGCATATAAACAGTGGACAAAATCGAAAACTGAAAGTTAAAATGTTTTGTGCTTACAAATTTGCCAATTTGCTGATGAGGTTTAATTTCACTAAAGATCATCCATTATTTCCTTTTATATGTTTCCACTGCATGGGCAGTGAATGTAGTTGTCTGCATGGCTTACTTTGTGAATGTTGGGTGTCCTTTCAGATGTCAACTGTCTCAGTAACCGCCAGTGTCACCTCTTCTCAGGGATCTGTCACCAAACAAGGTCGTAACCATGACAATGGCAGCAGCTCGGCAGTGCCACCTCAGAAACGCAGATCACTTATTGTACCACCATCAAAAACGAGTCCAGCAGGTAGGTTACTTGTGACTAGTAAATAACTGGAATGAACAGGTTGAAATGTTGATATGGAGCAGTTTGTTAGATAGATAGATGAAGACGAGTAAATCCTTTATTTCCTTTTTATCTGTGCAGTTTTTTTTCCTTTTGCTGTCACTGTGTAAATGTAAATTTGCATATGAAAAAAAAATACCCCCAAAAATAAAAGTTCTTTGTTGAGGTGGTGGAATCCCCTGCAAAATGTATCCAGATTTTGTTTTTTTTTATATAGAATAGAGAACATGTAAGCTTAACACATTTGTAACCTGTGTGTCTCATGAAATTGCCTAATACTTCGAGAAATGGATAAAATCTTTCACGTGTCATTTTGATAAGATCAGCCCACCCCACTCTGGCGCCTAATTTAACATTGTGACATTCTCAGAGAAGAAGTGGTAGCTATTTTTACACAAACCCATCAATTTCCCCCTGAATTCACCCTAGAATGCAGCAGATAGTTTCATTAGGAGGGTATTGATCGGTCTTAAACTAAGCTTCTCTGCATTTGATTTCCATGATGACTTGGCTTGCTCTGAAAAAGCTTGATGCGGAATGAGATGTCTGTTTCCATATTGAAGATGCAATGGTGAAATTTGTTCCAAGTAGGTTGTTTTGATATTTTTTTGTTTCCATCAATCTTTTGTGTATGGTTTTAGCCTGGTATGAGTCTGTCCATAGCATTATGCAGTTGTTTATTTGATAGGTTATACATTATGTAAACCAAGAGAAAAATATTGTACACTTGAAACTGATCTTCAAGTAGAAGCATTATATTTTGTAAAAAAATATCAATTTTCTATTTTTCAAGGTTCCCACATCATTATATTAATAGTATTTTGTGCACTCGTAAGCATAGATACTCAGTCCTTGGTACACTGCTATTGCTGATGTTATTCATTAGAGCTAAGCATTTTGACCTGCTGCCATGTTGCCAGCCCTGGTATTCGTTAAGCTGCGAAACCAATTGGTATCTCTTAGCTGATAATAATGGTAATATGCCTATTGAAATGAAGTCATGTGATGCTATTTGACATTCAGAGTAATGCATTACTGATGACTGCTTATAGATTCCAAATAGAAAAGATCAGTGTGTAACATCCGTTTATGGATTGATCCACAGTTTACAGATATGTGGTGGTGTTCTTTCTGAGTTCATATGGAGATCAAATCAATAGAATAATTAGGTGCTCAGAAAATTAACCATGGACCCAGGACTCATCAAGATATGAAATATGATTGGTCAGTGTGGTGACGAGCTCGGCACTTTTAATGTTAGTCAGTGTCATTGAAACTGACTAATCACAGGAGGTCTTAGTAAACATTCCCATGGTGCAGTTGGCGGCATAACTTAGCTAAATGACCTCGGTGGTCTTCCAGTTACTCTGAATCCCGTCTCTGCTCCGAGGGTACTGAAGTGCTCTGTGGTCCCTGAGGCTGATCTTACATAAGAACTACAAGACCCTGAATTGATTTTTTGTTGCTGCAGACTGTGTGGATTGTAAATTCTGACGCAGAGCTGGGATAAACTGGAACGGCCACATATGTAACGCCACACAGACATTTTCTGAGTGTTAAACACTAGAGTCATAGTGCTTGGTCTAAGGCTTTGGTACAACTGGGCTGAGTTCTTTATTTTCAATATATACTTATTTGTCTTGAGTAAGAAGCTCCTAAGAATTGTTCAAAGATGAAGTTCGAGGGTTTGTCAAAACTGATGAGTAAGTATTCTTCATTTTGTGTTTATTTTGCAGCATATTTCCTGCTATTTTTTCCAACTAATTAATTAACAACTAATAGTAAGTAAAGGTTAGATTGAAGAAATTTATTTTCATTAAAACATCATGTTTTCTCTATACATATTTTTAAAATTTGGTCAGATGAAGTTTTTCTGTTATATTTTAGAATCCAGAAGAGGTGCAAGTACTACAGCCAGCTCAGGGAAAACTGCCCCAAAAACTGCTGGAAAGAAAACAGAAACAGGACCACAGAGCCCAGCCACCAGTAACAAGAAACCACTGAGTAAGTCACAGAGTTTTTTAAATATCAAATGTTTAAAAAAAATTGAAAGCTATTTTTCAGATCATTTTATGTTGTTCAAGGTAGGTTCCTGACCCCTCACCCAAATGGCCAGCTCGCTGGCTGTTCTTGTCATGAAATGATATAATTATGTAGTCATCACATTTTGCCATGACTTATTATTTACTCTTAATGTTATTGATTTCATTAATTTTAAATTAGATAAAAGGTTTTTATAAACAAAAGTCACACTCTTGTCATTTGCATCATGTGGGAGGGATTTTGTTTTCATGGTAAAGTATGATGCTTTTTTGTGCATTTATAAATAATTATTGTGAGTCCCAGTTCCCTTAGAGACACGCTTAAAGTAGTGCAGATCTGTGGGCAGAAATGCTTCAGTAATTTTATCTGAAAACGCATTAACAGATGCCAAGAAGTGAGATCAATATGAAAATGTGCATCCTCTTTGTTGCTAAATGATTAATTTGTCTTAGATTGATAGCGTAGGCAGTGGAGTAAATTGCACACATTAAGTCACTAAATGAGGTTGATTGTTACTCAAGCTTTTTTTGTGGCTTTGTTCAGCAGATGGTTCTTTAATTCCAACTGAGCAGTCATTGATGAGTTTTATTGTTTCACCATTAATTCTTGATTGCCGATTTTTAGATAATATTTTGAAGTTATTCTATACTGGATTTTCATGAATAAAGCAATTATAGTCTTCCTTACATTTCAGAAAGAAATGACTACATTTATAATTGAGGAGTTTTATCATTTTTTGGATATGAATTAGGAAAGATGAGTAACTTTGTAGGATGCTTAGATACAAAAATGTCTTTGATACATTTTCAAACATGTATAATATATTTTTAAGCAAGGATATTATATGTGTAGCCTTAGAAATACTCTCAGTTTCCAGTCCACTTTCACTATTTGATTGGAGAATAGGGCTTATACCCCCTTTACACTGGGCGGTGTCCTTTCTGTGACCATGAAATTTGGCATCGCTATGGTCTTAATAAGGAGGCACGAGCATTGATTCTGTATCAGAATGAATGCTATATGATCGACCAGTTGTCGGCACGTAAAGTATTATATTTTTTAAACTCTCAAATGGGGCCGTAATGCTGGACGCAGAAAGGACGCCGTCCAGTGTAAAGGGGGCTTTAAATAGATGGATGTATTTAGTCACAATATTGACAATTGAAGCAACATGGTAAAAAGATATCGATATCACTGAGCTGAACCTTTTTGTTGTGAAGAGTAAGTCTATTTGTTGGAACAGTTGTCTTCCTAATTAGGTATCACACGTACAAGATGTAGAGAGTGGAAAACAACAACAACAACAGTACCTGTTTACCTGTGGTTCCATCTCTTGCTGCGGATATTGATTTGTGTTCCACATGTACACTTTCTTTCAAGTTTCTCAGATCTTTCTTGATTGATTCTTGTTTCAGTTACTGCCTGAAATCTCTTTAGATTAGTGTCCTATAATGTGTTTTTGGTTTACCACAATTGATTCATGCTCCTTTTCCAAATCCGTAAGGTATCTCTTGATTGCTTCATCTTACTTTTTTTGGTCTCTAATTGTACATTTAGTGTTCCTTTGACTCTTTTGGTTTTCTTTAATTGATCATGTGCTGCTTAAGATAACTTCTTTACATCTTTCTCTTGTTAAAATATGTGCATGTTGTTAAGGCCTTCAATCCTCATTTGGTTGGAGTGCAGTGGCTTTCATATGTTCCTGAAACTTCTTTTGGCATTTTTGCAGCGAGAAAATATAATGTTATATTAATATTATACTGTCACTGAGTATTTCTGAGTCAAAATTTCAGCATTAGCTGTTGGTTTAATTTTTGTACAGTACTTTGAGTTATCTTTTTTGAACTCTAAAGATCAGAAATAAGATATTTTTTCTACCAGTTTTGGGTCACAAATTGGACATGATACTTTATAGAACTATTAGTTAGCTGGGTTTTCAATTTTATCGTTACCACTCAATAGGAATATTCTAGTTTTAAGAATTAATGACTTGGAAAAAATACAGCATCTGTAAAATTCATGATTTTCTCCATTGAAAAGATTGAGTCATTACTGCTACAGTAGTTTCTGATCCTCAGGTGCTGCTGGCTGACTGTACATCAGAAAGTAACCGAGGTATCGCCTTGGGGAGAAGTTTTTCCTCTAATTACTCATGGTTTTTGGCAGTATTCTAGTGGAGAAAGATTCAGTTGAGGTTTTACTCTCAGGGGATTTTTTTTTTTTTTTTTTTTTTTT